ACGTTTAAGGCTCGTAGCTGTGCCTGGTTCTGAAACAAAATTGTGTTGATATCCAACCGATGTATCACATTCGCATGTGAGTCTGGCTTGAACTTCATTTATTTTGCTTTCATTCCTACTGCAGCTTCTGTAATAATATGATTAGGGTGTTCTTTTATTTACTTTACCAAGGCAGACTAGCTGTGTTTACTAATGTCGGTAGCCATTGTAGTTAATAAGTACCTTGCATCAACATTAGAAGCTGCATAAGCTTCTTGCTTGCTGTGGAATGCAATATCTATAATACCGACTGCTGATTTTGCATTCATGGTGCATGATGTTTTATAGGAGAGTTTTGCCATGCATATGAGCTTCTACATCTACCATTTACCACAGTTTTTTTCTGTGTGTTTGGTTGCTGTTTAGCTGTCCCTGGCTGTGAATATTGGATACTTTGTCTAATTTATGAACTCTATCATATAAAGCCAAACATTTTAATTGTGCGTAAGCAGACTCTTGCAATACTCGTAGATTCTTGTGATATCACTTTGCTTCTTTTAGATTAAGGAAGAACTCCTGAAAAAATATTTATTAACCCTTGAAGTCTTGTGTCTAGGTGCTGAAAAAAAGCTATACTCACCAGACCATCAATGCCAGCTTGTTCCTAGACCAGTACCTAGAACATCTCTGCTGCAGTGGTCTAAGGATCCTGGTGTCATCACGCTCTATACACTGTGTACAGACTATGTACAGACGTGAGGATGCAGAGGAGCAATCCATCTGTGCAGCAAGGAGGAGATGTGCTTCAGTGATTACAGAAGCAGGGAGCGTGCTCGGATAGTCTGGTAAGTATAACTTTTTTTTTTGTACCTAGACAAAAAGGAGCACTTATCCCTTGTAGTGTGGGGGTAACCCCACTGCAAGGGTTAATAACATTTTTAACTAGTACATTAGTGAGGTTTTTTTCCAAGTGCATTTCTGTCACAAACCGTTACTTAATGTCAGCAATGTACAGTGGCTAATAGTTTCAGGTTTGTCACCTACAAACTGTTTATTAGGTTCACTAACATTTTGACAGAATATTGCAAAAAACTGGGTTTACTTTGGGGTACATGTAATCCTTGAAGCTTTTGTAATACTCAGTAAGCAGCGTGCTCCACTTTGCAGATATGCCTCCCTATTCTGTTATCTCTACCCAGAATAGCAAATAGCATGTCTCTTCCTCTTGCCTATTTTAATTATTACCTTTGAAGAAGAGATCAGTATGCCGTTTAAACATTGTGCATTCTTCTGAAATATTTATACTGTCCCCCATCATCACCGCTAGCTCCGCCTAATTGTCACTGTGTGGAAGCAGTGGTCACTCCCCTCCCCCCCCCCCCCGCTCCTCTGTGACGGGAAGAGAAGGCTCACACAACACA